TATATTCAGCAAACTGTCTTTCAAATATGAGGGAGAAATTCAGGCATTCCCAAATACAAGTGTTGACAAACTTACTTCTCTGCTACTAGACTAACTCTACATAAAAGGGGGTCCAGTCCTTCGAAATAGAAGGACATTAGGCAGGAATTCACAGCAGTCTAAAGAATTAACTCTGATAAAGGTAAATACATGGATATTTAAGAGTCAGGACTTGTTTTATTTTCTACATGATGCAACAGACTCATGTATTTAAAAAAACAAAAACAGAACTGGGTGTGGTGGTGCATGCCTGTAATCCCAGCACTCAGGAGGCTGAGGCAGGAGGATCCCTGTGAGTTAGAGACCAGCCTGGGCTACATAGTGAGTTCCAAGTCAGACTCAACTACATAGTGAGACCCTGTCTCAAAAAACCAAAAAGAAAAAACAAACAAAACAAAAAAACAAGCAGGTAGGTACAAAAGAGACAGAAGATGAGGAGCGTTCCCACTTTATAACAACCCACTCTTGAAATAATTAATCCCACTAGTGAAGAACTCACACAAGAAATACATTAATCCTCTTACTGACCTCATTGCCTCATTACCTCTTAAAGGTCCTACTACCTCACACTGGAAATCAAATTTTAGCAGGAACTTTGCTGGGGACAAAGCACATGCAAACAAAATCTTGTCTAGGCAGTCAAGTCCAGGAATATCAGGCTCTTTCCACAGATATGAATATTAAAGAGCTTCTCCAGGGTTTGCTTATAAAACTCTAAAACAAAACAAAACACAGAAAAATTCCAAAGCCTCGCTATTTCATCCGAGTTGATGAACACTCTGAGAAGAGAGACCCTTACTGGCCTATAGCTAAATCCCCTGACAGTACACAAATTCCAAAAACAACAAATAACTGCTCAAGGGAAAAATCAAAATGTTAAGTCTGTGATCCTATACTTGCAGTCATATTTTAGAACTGACTTATATAAGGCAAATATTTGAAACTTAGAATAGACCCATGATTCTAAAAGCTCTCAATAACAGTTTCCAGACTAGACTTGGAAAGCCTGTTTAGTCAATTATATACAAAAACCATGGTAACATTCCAACTGTCATAATCTATATTTCAACCTGGGAAAGCCAAGTCAAAATCCCAAACTACCACAATAAGAAGCATTTCCCCTTCTCAGTTCAAGAGGTCCCTGCTGGTAACAGGAAAAAAAGAAGGGACAAAATGGATGCTACGCTGCCACCTGCCTCATGAGCACAAGGGCCCAAGTTCGATCCCTGGTACCCCCCCCCCAAAAAAAAAAAAAAAAAACACCCATAAAATCATCTAGGAATTCAAAATGGATGCTACCATACCCAGTGGCTCACTAAGGCTCTATGCCTTTTGGTTGATTCATCTTTTCTAATCATCCTGACCTGGAGAATATGGGCATTTGCTCTCTAGGGCTGCAAAGAGCAATGCATGTCCAGCTGTATCTGTGGAGGCAGGACTCGAAGAGCTCAGTAGTACTTTGGTTAACACAAAAAGCTCTGACCTTCTTTTTCAACACAACTCTTGCCTGAAATCCTACATAAAGCTGAATATGCTATGTCATAATGACAGCTATAATACTGTTCCACACTTTACAAAAGAAGGCAGAGTTCTCCCTCACTGCTCTCTTGCCACATCTCTGATAAAACTAGGTACAGTGGTGAACAACATGGATCTCTATAGAAAACAAAAGTCAAAGTCATGCACTTGGTATACACAACTATGTATTTGTTCACATACAGAGAGTAACAGAATATCAACCAGTGGGGGAAAGAAAAGGATGGAAGAGAAAAACTTAAGTTTTAAATTTCACTGTTTGCTGAGTATGATGCCGCATAATCCCAGCACTCTGGAGGCTGAGGCAGAAGGATCACTGTGAGTTCAAGGCCAGCCTGGGCTACACAGTGAGACCCTGTCTCAAACAAACACTTATCATTGTTTGAATTTCTTTTTGAATCATAGGCATGATTTATGTCTATAATTTTAGAAATAAACCATGTACAGGTACGAATTCTCTATGATGAGTGTTATCATTATGTGTCCCTAAAATATACCAATAAATGTTTTGCTATTAAAAAATTTTTAGAAATAAAATTATGATTAAACCATTTAAAAAACCTAAAAATGGGGCCAGGGATTTAGCTCAGTGGTGCCACCACCTGCCTCAAAAGCACAAGATCCCAAGTTCGACCCCCAGTACCAAAAAACCACAACAAAACAACAACAACAAAAAACCCCCAAAAACCTGAAAATGATAATTTCTCTGGATAGAAGATGTGGTTAGAGAAATAATCACAATTTGGCCAGGAAATGTAGCTCAGTGAGAGAAATTATAAATATACTTCATTACAGAGACCCAAAGTAGAATGACCTAAGCAGATTATTATACATTTATATTAGCACATGCAGCAAGATTCAGCCACTGACCAAATCCATTCTGTGGAATAGACCACTCCATATGATAAAACTGGATTTTACATTTTTAAAGAGCTGGAAAAAAACAAGGAAGAATATATGACAAAGACCACATAAGCCCATAAAGTCTAAAATTTCCTATGTGACTTTTATAGAAAAAAATGTTATGACCCCTGATTTATACCAATGACCTTGGATCTCTTCAACATTTTTTTTTTTTTTTGAGACAGGGTCTCACTATGGAGTTGAGACTGACCTGGAACTCACTATGTAGCCCAGGCTGGACTTGAACTTGCAGCGATCCTCCTGCCTCAGCTTCCCGAGTGCTGGGATTACAGGCATGCGCCACCAGGCCCGGCTTTAAACATTTTTTCTAGCCAGGTGTGGTGGTGCACCTGTAATCCTAGCACTTGAGAGGTTGAGACAGAAAGATTGCAATGAGCTTGAAGCTAGCAAGATCCTGCCTAAAAAACAAAACAAAACAAAACAACCCAACCAGGACTCTGGGAGACCGAAGGAGGAAGATGATAATTTTAAATCTCACCTGGGCAAGTTGGTGACTCAATGAGACTTTGAATTAAAACAAACAAAAAAAGAAAGGGCTGGAGATATGGTTCAGTGTGAAGGCTCTGGCTTTGATCCCCGAGCACAGCAAAAACAAGTAAACAAAAACCTAAATTCCCCTTGGAAATGTCTTCAAAATCACTTTTAAACAATTATATTATTATTATACCAAGGCTGGGGTATAGCTCAGCAGCATAGCATTTGGCTGTATGCCCTGGATTCAATCCCAGCACCACAAAGAACGATGATAACAACAAAACAAAAACAATAAGGCCCTCAAAGCAGTACTAACTTATGCAGCTATCTCAGTTACCAGATTTGCCTCAAAGACTGTGACTTCAGCCTCAGAATAGGGAAAGGAACATTCTCCTGTCCAGCACCTCACATCTAGGAGCTTAAAGTAAAAGGCGAAAGATTTATATGATCTGGAGAGAAACCAGAGTACAGGAGCTTAAAGTCTATGCACAAGCACACACATGGAGAAGCCAATCTCAGATTAACCCTCAGAGCTGGTAAAAATAATTTTAAAAATATATCAGTTAAGCTAATGTAATAAATCAGTTTAGGAAGTCAATTTGTAAATGAAGTAAAGAAAAAAGAATGATACTCTTAATGAACTTACATTCGAATCTTACATTCTAATCTAGAGGCCTGAAAGAGGGAGAGGATTCATTGAACTATCAAAGATCCCCAAGAAATGTAGTATGAATCAAATTCATCAAAACAACAACAACAAAAAAAACCAAATTCATCTGAGTATAAACAGTTGTGAATTTAGAATTGGAGAACTAATTTATCCTATAAGCACATGTAGAACTTGTGATTCATTCATTCATTAATTCTTTCATTCATTTATTTGGGGGGGCAGGTACCAGGGACCGAACCTCAGAACCTTGAGCTTACAAGGCAAGCGCTGGCAACACTGAGGTAAATCCCTGGCACCTTGTTCTGTTTTTATGAGACAAGGTCTCACTACGTACTAGTTCAGGTTGGCCTTGAACTCACTATGCGGCTCAGATTGGCCTCAAACTCATAACAATACTCCTGCCTCAACATCCTGAGCACTGGGATTACAGATGTGTGCCACCATACCCAGTGTGTGGAACTTTTTAAAAACCAATTTTCTATAGAGTATAATGAAAATTCACAAAACTCATAATCACATTTAAAATTCTAAGTACTTTTAACAGTTCGTTATTTGGAAATTAGTTTCCAATATGAAGATTTTAAGGGAAAAAATACAAACCAATTGTTTAATCTTTTTTTTTTTCATTTCTTTCTGCTGGGGTTTGAACCCAAGGCCTTGTGCATACTAAACACATGGTCTATATTGATCTACTTTACCACTCCAGTTCAACAATCTTTTAACTTCCTTAATTTGTTTTTTTTTTGGGTTTTGGTTTTTTGAGACAGGGTCTCACTATGTAGTTGAGACTGACCTGGAGCTCACTATGTAGCCCAGGCTGGTCTTGAACTCATAGCGATATTCCTACCTCAGCCTCCTGCCTCAGCCTCCAAGTGCTGGGATTACAGGCATGCGCCACACCATTCCTGGCTCTAACTTCCTTAATTTGAAATGAAAACAATTTAGAACTTGGCAAGCACAAATTTCTCTTTCTTTTCTTTTTTTTGAGACTGGGTCAAACTGTATGTATGTAGTTCAGGCTGGCCTCAAACTCCTGCCTCAACTCCCCAGGTGCTAGAATTACAAGTATGTACCACTATGCTCACTTTAAACATAAATTTCTTACAAGGAAAGTATCAATGTAAAGAGGATAAAGGTGGGTCGGATATTTAGCTCAGTTGTTGCACCACCTGCCGTGCAAGGTCCTGAGTTCAATCCCTGGTAGAAGGAGGGAAGGAAGGAAGGGAGGGAGGAAAGAAAGAAAAGAGCGAGAGAGACAGAGAGAGAGAAATACTGATGTGAAAAAAACTACAACAGTATCTTCGCTCACCTCCAGAGCACATTTTCCTACCTAAGTATGACATAGAAGGTACTCTACCTCAATGTCCTGGAGACTGAATTCCTTCTGATCTATAAAGTTTGCTGCCCCAGCACTAAGTTCCATCAGCATCTTGGCAATCTCCGGCTTTATGGCTGAGGTCAGCCGACTGGCTGTTTCCATGACATGCTCTTGCACATCTTTGAGCTGCACAGCCGCCTTCGAATAGTGAGAATTCCTGAACACGGTGCTGAAAAGATCTGTGAGCAGAGTACTGGCACGGCAGAAGACGTTGAGGGCGTCCAGGTACTTAGAGATGCCTTGCTGGATGTCAGCAATGGGAGTAGAGTGGGGCATGGTATGGTGGCAGCTGCCTGCAGCAGTCAGACTGCCCAGCGGGGCAGAGGTGGCCGTAGATGCCAGGGGAGCACTCAGTGCTCGGCCCAGCTCAGGCATTGGGTACTGCTGGTGCTGCTGCACCTTCTGCTTGGACCCGCCAAGCAGGAAGCGCCGCTTGTAGTCCATTTTACTGTCCTGGGCACTACAGCAATACATGCGGGGGATCTGTCCCAGGGACTGTGAAAAGGTCAGAGTTCTGATTCTTTTTTTCCAAAACTCTAGCTAGGTATAAAAATAGTGGAGTTCTGCAAATCTAAGTTTTAAAAAAGGCATTTCCATGAGGCAGACGACCATGTGATCAAACATTGAGGTGAGGGCAACAATAGGGTTATATAATTAATATTTTCAGTGTAGACAGGACCTCTGACAAAAAATGAAAGTGTGTCCAAAATGCTGTATAAGAACTGTTTAGCATTCCACTCTCTTAATAAAAAGATACGCTTGTTGAGAAAAATGTTTACTTATAATTGCTCTGCAAGAATATTTTGATACAAGTATTTACAATGGCAGAAAAATAACTTTTAAAAATGTAATATAATGTATCTTTAATACAGCAAAAAAGTTAGAACCCAAAAACCCACAAGCTGATCAACAGCAATTTAAAAAGCAATACAGGGTTATTCCGCATAAAGTCCTTAAGAAGGGAGATCAAATCTCTGCAGAACTTTGACAGAGCCTGCCTGTCAAATAACTGCCTATAAAGATTCTCCTCAAGGCTAAAAATTTCCAAATTTCCTGTAATGTTTTCTGAAAACAAGTTTTCTTTAAAAATGGCATTCGTTATTATAAGTCTTCCTTTCGTTTGCTGAGGTAGCGGTTTCCTTGTAACATTAATAAGAGATGCTTCCAGACTGGGTTGGCCTTCAATTGCAAAGTCTGAAGCAAGAATGCACGGATGTATTCATAAGGCCTCTAAATCATTTCCTGTAAGGGGGGAAAAAGAATAAAAAGTCAGGAAGGCTATAGGACAATAAGTAATTCTGGAACATTAACTTCTGCAGTGCTGTCATACACATAGGTGGGCTACAAATGAATGAAATAAATCATAACTTTACAGAAGTAGGACAACAAAGTTGAACTATGAAGTGATGACTGTTACAAAATTCAAGTTGTACACAAAAATAATGCAATGAAAGGAGTCTGATTTCACACTAATCACTCCACAGCTGAGGGTAACAGGTGAAAATTGATGGCCTGTTCAGTGTTTGGTATTCTTTCGTTTCCTTCTCAAAGAGCTAGCACAACTGCAGAAGAATAAGATGAGTTCAGATGTCCTTGCTATCCATGTGATTGGTTCCATGACCATATGAGGACACTAAACTCTGAGGATGCTCAAGTCCCTTATATAAAATGGCATAATATTTGCATATAACTTAAATATATCCTCTAATATACCTTAAATCATTTCTGGATTACTTATAATACAATGTAAATGCTATGTAAGTAGTTATAGCGCACTGCTTAGGTAACAATGACAAGAAAAATGTCTGTACATATTTAGTACAGATGCAAAAAAAAAAAAATATA